ATATTTGAGTTAAGAACAATAATTATTTATTTCTAGATTCTTAAGTGTGTGCAAAGGCTCCTAAAAATTATGTTTATAGTGTAATAAATTAGAATTAGAGAGAGAGAGAGAGAGAGAGAGAGAGAGAGAGAGAGAGAGAGAGAGAGAGAGAGAGAGAGAGCTGTCTGAGCTGTGACCTGACAACTTCTTCGATAATATGCAGTGACGTCATTTAAATATACACGCGTTAGATTGGGACAATCATTGCTGTGCATGCACCGAACAAATGTTTGTATGAGCCAATCATTGTTGGCATGATATTCACGCACTGAAAAGCATACACCGAACACGTGTCAGAATGAGCCAATCATTATTGTGCATGCAAATAACACGTAACGGATGAGCCAATCATTGCTGTACATGCATCCACCATGTGACGGAATGAGCCAATCATCTGTGGGACACTGTGTCATGCAATTGTAATAGATATGCCCATGTAAATGCACGAATATTACAAACAAAAACACTATGATGATAATAGGTTACGTAATTACCTAGTGCTTAACTACCTGTGTTATACTGTGAAAAATAATCACCCCGAACCCTAACCCTCGCAATCTAGCCCCAATGTGATTCAATATGCCCCTCCAAATAACTATAAGTGACCTGAAGAGGGGTGTATACAATTGAAATGAGTAAGCAGCGCCGGTGGGGCATGGTTACTAGGCTTAGAGTTATGCGTGAACTTGAAGAGGCCCTAAGGAAGTATTATCGTAAATGGTAACTGTATATGTCTAGTATATATCACACGCATTTAAAAGATATATTCTTTATAATTGCTTGTGTAAACTTATTTATGCTGTGGTGCCACTAATATTATTTGTTGGTGTCCACCATTTTAGCGGACAGGTGACATCAACCATGTAGTTCCATGCAACAATTGACTTGAATAGTGTTGGTTGCTATGAGACTCGCATGAAGCATGCGCAGTTCTGACGATGATGCCACGGTTTGTGTATAATGCATTTTAATGACGTACGACATCGCCCTTGTACTGCGGTAACGAACATATTTGGTCGCACTACTGTTATTAGCGACATATCATGTGTTATGTGCAACCAGTCACGTGTTTGCCTCATCCGGCTACTTCCTCCCAGGCATCATGTATCAAATAGTGTTTAGCTTATATTTTTCTTACAAAGTCTCATTACAAGTGAACCACGTGAAATAACAAGTTAACTACAATTATAGTTGCAATAAAATAGCTGTAAATGCCTATTTTTCAGAGAGAAATATGGCCGTTCTTCATAAAAAATTACCATCATCAAAAAAGTATAGCAAGCGTGGAAATAACCTAAAATACTAGTACTTTGTCAAATCCCATGCAATGTTTTGACGTCACTATAACCCTTTGACCTTTGTTTGTTCTATTTTTACATTCAATTCCACACATACTGTGGGATGTCTCGCTGAAAGGAAAGTGATCTATTGGTCGAAAACTCCATCAATTTGCGACAATCGTCGTACAAATTTGACATATCATACTAGTTGATATTTTAACGGCATGTGGTATATGACGTAATCATTTTGTGACCATTATTTATCCAATGCATAGCATCAGCGGTACAGACGGGTACATATTTCCGACACTTCATAGAATGAATACTGTAAAAACATTTATTTTCATTCATATTTAATTTCACTGTTTTGGTTTTTTGAGAATATTCACTGTGTTTTACTTGTAATTTGTAAAGGAAACAATGAGTTTCATTGTTATTTTACATGTTCAGGTAAATTTAATTTAGAGGATTTTACTTATCAGCGATAATAGCGAAAATAAAACCCAGTGCATAATTAATGAATTTACAGTATTTTCCATCGATGGCGCGTATGGGATAAGACTCAATTACACAAGCAACGCACGAGCACAAACACATACAGCAAACATGCTTTTCCTGTTCATGTCCTGTTCTACGTAAGCTTTTTTAGCGATCATATCACAACTCTCGCTTCAAATAAGGGTGAAGGAATGGTGGATTTAAAGATATAATCAGACCAAAATATATACCGCGACACTGAAACTCGTGATATACATCTGTATGCTGATATCTGAAACAGTAAAACGCGGGTAAGGGTTTTCAAACAGTCTTATTGCACGTAGGCCAACAGGTGATAGAATCGTTGTGGTCCACTGTTCCGTAACAAATGTTCAAAAGAATGTTCGGCAAAGATAAAAAAAAAAGCATTTAAGTGTAAAATTGCGTTGTTTTCATCTTCATTACACTCGGGGTCAAGGAAATGATAATTTCATTAATTATAACACGTACTAGGTGATAGTACGGTTACGGTAGTATATTATCAGTTATACCAAGTTGTTCTGTGTACCCGAGTCTTTTATAAGATACTAGTGTCGGCGTAAATTAAAATCGGTTGTGTTTTTTTTTTTCAAGACAATTTACGCTAACAAATCGTGTATTTCCATATTATAGTTATTATCGAGAAGGATTAAAAATATGTGCTTCGCGTATTTGGGACCCCCCCCCCCATGAGAATATGCTCCGTATTTTACTGTTTTGATGACATTTTCCTGTATTTTGGGGTTAAGGATAATGTGAAGTAGTTTCACGAAATACAGTTCCTCAAAACAACATAGTCAACCATATACATTGTTTCTTGCATTTTTTTAAAACTTCTACAATACTTATTTTCGAATATTAGTATAGCAATGCATTAGATGTGGGTTATTTGCTTTAAAAACACTTGTTAATGATTTTTAGAACATGATTATTCGGATTTAATTTGGAGCGAAATACCCGAACACTGGAATTTGTATATACTATCCATACAGGGTATGTGACCTATGGTCTGCCTTACTATGGAATGACCGGCATTCTTACCTAGCAAGGATTTGTAAATAAGTTATGTTATGTTATATTGCTCTTACTTCTTGTTACATACGTTAATTTTCTTCGTGTTCAGTTCATGTTTTTTTTTGTTCTCTAATTTTTCAAACTTCTGTTTCCCCTTGTGTTTTCTGTATTCTGCAGCAGTTGCCAAAGCACCGACACCTAGTACGATTCCCTTTGTTTTTCACAAGTTTCTTCACAGAATATCTGACTTTATCCCTAGCGAGGTTCAGCGCGATGGACATCATCACCAGACCAATGACAATAAAAATAGATAAAATCGTCTGTCTCATAAGTATCTCTTCTTCGCTGAGATCTGGCCTGTCATCACCAGGAGCAATGTCACCAAAACCTATAGTTAGAAATGTTACAACTGTGAAATAGACAGAATCCAGGTACTGCCACTGTGGTTCTAGATATATAACGGCACGTGCACCAACTAACACGTAAATCAACAAAACGATAATCATGAACCCCACCGGGGCGTCGACTTCCTCCTCTTTCGAACCAGCCGCACTGCCACTCTCTTTTTTCGGAGATTTTTTTAAACCCATGAAGTTGTCACCAAAGTTTCCAATAGAAACTGCTTTCGCCATTCCAGGTTTTTTTGCGCGTACATCCGACGAGCTGCTTCCCATGGTTGACCTTCTAGACGTCGTTTCCTCGTCCCGATCTGGATACGGAGTGATTCCGGAATCAAAAACGGCTAATGTATTTGGCGTGCCGGTCTGTGTTCCAGCTGATCTTAGTCCGGTCGGTGTAACTGACCCGACCTCGGAACTGTCCCGGTCAAAATACCAGCTTGGACTAGCTGCCATATCGTGACTCTCCTCTTTTGGCGACGTGGAAGTATTGTTTTTCTTTTTTATAAGCATAGCTTTAAGGGCACGGTATTTACGCGTCGAGCGGACGTGCAGATATTTCAGTGGTACGGACACTAGTTCACCGACCTTTGCTAGAAAGATGACAAATAACGGGATGCCAAAAATAGCGTAAAATATGCAAATCAGTCTTCCCGCTTGTGTGCGAGGGGCTAATACTCCATACCCTGAAAGAGAAAAAGAAAGAACACCCAATGGGGTTCAGTTAGTAAGCGTAGACAAGTTACGAAACTTCCGGTGAGCCAACAAATGTATTTATATTGCTTTTGTACACATACTATCGAAAGAGTGGAAACAATTACATCAAATTTTCAATCTGCTTTGAATTTTCGATCTTTGAATAATAATAGAATCACACTGCTTTATTTCACACAATCCACATAGCATAAAAATTATATGTCATCTTCTCCATACTTTTATTATTATTGGTAAATTTAGGATACAGAAAAAATAGGATCATCGTACAATTTGTTGCGACTAAACAAAAGTATCATATTATACGGAAAATGACACGATTCTTGAAGATATTGAGTTTCCAGTGTGTTTTGATTGCGGAACATCAGAAATTGGTGGATGTGTTATTCCGCATCAAAACACATAGTAGTAATCCGCTGAATATACGAGTATTGAACAGTTATAAATAACAAGAAAGGTCACAATCATATGATACACTAGAACTATTTCGTATCTCTTGTATCACGATGTCTTGCCTTAGCGAGATAGTTCTTGACACAAAACTCAAAAGGTTTAATTAATATGTAAACTAGGTTATTAAAACTAGTATGCGCGGAGTTCAGCTAAAACCTAGTCATGCCTGCGCATTATCTCAGATCATCTATGTTCAAAGTTTCCTCAAAATACAATGAGAGGCTCTTGCGACACCAGTAGAACTGATATACACACGTATATACAGAAATATTTACTGCAAAGTCTCCTATTGCGTGTTTCGCAAAAAAGCAATATTGGAGAATTGTTCTTATTTTTTCGGTTTAATGTTTCCCATTGCTGTTTTTCACATGTCTATGCCACCACTCTATACACAGACACCCACACAAATATTCGGGTCAACCGTAAGTTACTTTACTAGGCGGGCGGGGATTATTCCGATTCAGTGATCCCATGTTACCAATTTAGACCACACCCATTCATCCAATGCCGTTATTTCTTATATCAGTGTGTATATCCCATCAAACGAGAATAGCTTTTGAGGTGGATCCTTGGCAGAATCGCCGACGAATCCAATTCCGAAAATTGCCAAAAAGGAAATGATTACAAATTCCCATGCACCGAGTTGGACATGGGTTCCATACACCAGGTTGGACATGGGTCCCATACATTGTGTTGGACATGGGTTCCATGCATCATGTTGAACATGGGTTCCATGCATCGTGTTGGACATGGGTTCCATGCATCGTGTTGGACATGGGTTCCATGCATCGTGTTGGACATGGGTTCCATGCATCGTGTTGGACATGGGTTCCATGCATCGTGTTGGACATGGGTTCCATGCATCGTGTTGGACATGGGTCCTATGCATCGTGTTGGATATGGGTCCCATACATTGTGTTGGACATGGGTTCCATGCATCGTGTTGGACATGGGTCCCATGCATCGTATTGGATATGGGTCCCATGCATCGTGTTGGACATGGGTCACATGCATCGTGTTGGATATGGGTCCCATGCATCGTGTTGGACATGGGTCCCATGCATCGTGTTGGACATGGGACGCATTCATCAGGTTGGATATGTGTCCCGTACATCGTGTTGGATATGGGTCCCATGCATGGTGTTGGACATGGGTCCTATGCATCGTGTTGGACATGGGTCCCATACATCAGGTTGGACATGGGTCCCATGCATCGTGTTGGACATGGGTCCTATGCATCGTGTTGGACATGGGTCCCATACATTGTGTTGGACATGGGTCCCATACATCGTGTTGGACATGGGTTCCATGCATCGTGTTGGACATGTGTCCCATACATCAGGTTGGACATGGTCCCATACATCGTGTTGGACATGGGACGCATGCATCGTGTTGGACATGTGTCCCATGCATCGTGTTGGACATGGATCCCATATATCGTGTTGGACATGGGACGCATGCATCGTGTTGGACATGGGACGCATGCATCGTGTTGGACATGGGTCCCATGCATCGTGTTGGACATGGGTCCTATGCATCATGTTGGACATGGATCCCATGCATCGTGTTGGACATGTGTCCCATACATCGTGTTGGACATGGGTTCCATGCATCGTGTTGGACATGTGTCCCATACATCGTGTTGGACATGGGACGCATGCATCGTGTTGGACATGTGTCCCATGCATCGTGTTGGACATGGATCCCGTACATCCTGTTGGACATGGATCCCGTACATCAGGTTGGACATGTGTCCCATACATCGTGTTGGAAATGGATCCCATACATCGTGTTGGACATGGGTCCCATGCATCTTGTTGGACATGGGTCCCATGCATCGTGTTGGACATGGATCTCATGCATCGTGTTGGACATGGA